CACGGGAGCGTTTTCTAAGGAAGCACTCTTCTATGACTATCTTATTATTATTATTATTTTTTTAAATCATATTTACTTATCATCTGCTCCCATCTCATCAGTTGTTGTGGCCTACTCTCTCTCTCTCCTCAAAAACTCCTTCACCTTCTTCTAACGTCTGAGCTCAGTACCTTAAAGAATAATTAGATCTGAGTCACAAAGCTTCTGCTTTGGCGTTGTTTGCTCCGTTAAGCATAAACCCTCCTTGTAAATTAAAATTGATTTATAAAGTTTGGAGTTTATGGAAAGTTGAGAAGCACTTGTAAGATTCATCACTTGTACGGTGAATCAAAACTAGTCTTTTGGAACATAAACAACATCATTTGGTCTTGTGTATGTTTGTTTTTTTTTTTTTTTTCCTTTTTTCCCCACTAAAAAAAGGTTGAATTGAATCAAAAAGAGAACGAATGACTACTTGGGACTTGAGCACCATGATACTTGTATTTGTATTATAGTTTGGAATTACATTGACTCACGAAGACAATGATTGAATGCTAATGGTGAGCAGCGATAGGAAAAGCGCAGAAAAGACAACATTTTTCCTAATAAGGATCGTGCAGAGCCAATATAAATAGAATATAAAAATGAGTAATTAATGAAAATAATAAATATAGACACGACATATTTGTCATGTAAAAAGTAAAAACTTCATCCTCAATGTGAGTGAGAGACACGGCCCAAAGCAAATGTTTCGCTATGTTTCTTAATCGCTAAACAATAATAAATTTGACAGGTTCAATGTCCATGTATAGGCCATGTCTAGGTCATATCCATATGTGTGTTCATTCACCTTGCCCTATGAAAATTTTGCTTGTAAGTTAGAGTATATTATCACATACTTATAATCAAGTAATGTTGATTAGTGCTCATGTTCTAATAAGTAAATATTTGGTTGTTAATCCTCTGAAATACTTTATCCTTTGTAATACCTTATACAAGTTATTAAAAAAAAATTATCAACTACAAGTTTTGATCATTATATTGACAAGAATGTGTCTGGAATTGTGTCATTTCTAATGTTAATATGCAACCAATGTATTGATCCTTTCAATTTTTTTAAACCATATTATAAACACTTTCTAAATTTACAAATACATGTCATATATTAACAAAACAACGTTCATATAATTTTACAATACAAAATCCAATTATCCTCTAAGAAACTTCCAACATTCCAAACAATCAATACTTTATAATTTTATAATTACAATTCAAAAATCACCAACACAACCTTAAAATATATAAGGGTTATATAAGGGTTAAAGTATATTTTTTTCATACTTTTTTTTTAAAGGAACATTGGGCACCTTTTATTAATAAAGGAGGTATTTTTCTCTTAAATCATTTTCTAGAAAAGTAAAAATCTCTCTCTATCAATAGATTACTAATAGGAAGAGATTTTTACTCATTTAAAAAATAGTTTATAAAAAAAATGTTTCATTATTAGTATAGCGGCCTAGTGCTTTTTAAAAGAAAGTATTTAAATAAAAATACACTTTAATTTAATAATTAAATTACAAAATTTAATTATTGAGCTTGGTGCAAACTTTTTCTAGTCATTCTTATGAGATATGTGACTTTTCAAAGTAGGGGTATTTTTTAACTTTTTACTTGAAAACATAATTTCACTTAAGTCTTGAGCGCTTGTAAATAAATTTTAGGGTTCTATGGGTCAAAATGTAATATTGTTCCCCTTAAAGGACCTCAATACCATTTTCTCTTTAATCATATCGTATCTTGGCATCTTCAATGATGAAATGGTTCTGATTCTTCATAATATTTAATAATTCTAAATCAATTAACTTTGATGCAAGTCAATATGTGTATACGCATATATAGGCAAATTTAATGATTAAAAAAAACTTCTGAAGAACCTTTCACACTTTTCAATGAGGATTCGAATTCAGGACTTGATGGTAATGATTGAGGAATTTAGGTGTAATTGCCCAGGAATTTTAAGAAAATTATAAATTATGATAAGATAATTTAAGTATATTTTCATTAATTTTGCACTGTATTACCAAAATGCCATTGACAAAAAGAGAAGGGAGCATGAGTCAGAAGCCCGAAGAAACTCACGCATGTACTTTCATCCTCTCCTTGATCATTTTCGGGATTGTTCCAGAGCCAAGGGCAGACAGCTCGATCCTTCCTCCTCTGTTCTTCCTCCTCCATTTCTGATCGTCTGTAGCCGGCAATAGTGGGAATGCTGGCCGCCGCCGCCGCCGCCGCCGCCCCTGTGGGGGCTTCGTTAGCTCGCAATTTCTTCTTCCTCTGTTTCGGCGTCGCTCACTTTCCTTCTTCCTCTCACAGCTCCGCAACGTTATTGTGTTTGGTGAGTTAAAAAGCTCAATTCCTTCTTTCCATTCCTCCTTGGCGAGTTCGAACTTCATCTTTTTCCCTCCCATGCTTCAAGTCTATGTGATTGTATTTGTTGAATGGGTTGCTGTAACAGGGGAATAAAACTGATTCTCTCTCATTGTTCTTGCTTGATGCGTAAATAGGAGAGTAGTTTGGACCAGGAAAACTGAGATTAAAGTTTAAAGAGTATGAATTTTGATACATAATTCTACTATAATTGTTCTGGGTTGTTGCGAGACATAGAAGATTAGATTAGATTAGATTTTATTGAGTTTAAATTAATTTTGATGGCAAATAGAATTTGATAAGCTTGATAAATTTAAATATTGATGTTTGGAAATTGTTAGGCATGAGACTTTAGGATTAAGGACTTGATAGAATGGTTTACAAATTTGATGCACATAAGGTGCTTGTTGAAATGGTTGATAGAAGAATTGTAGCCTACGGCAGCAAAGGAATGTGAGAAATATATTACTGTTGACTAAATTATTATAGTAAGCAATTATTTGGTTGGAGATGAAGTTAAGAAATTTTAGGAAAATATATTTGGTTAATAATTCTATGTTAAAGTTTGTTTATTCTTATGTTGACTTTTAGGTACATATAAAGTGTCCGATAAAATGTTTGGAGAAGTAGCTTTATGAAAATTGAACGTACATAAGTGATCATTCTGATTAAATCATAATTCTTTTTTTTTTTTTTAGAAAGGCTTGGAAACTTTGAATGATAGTCACATATGTGTTTGTTAGAGATTTACTGATTTAAACTTAGCATATCATTTTATTTGTGAAAAGTTGATGTTGAGATTTTCTTTTTTAATTCTCAAAATTTGTTTGGATTGAAGATTTTGAATTTTAAAAGTGTTAAAAGAATTAACAATAATGTTTGTTTTGGGCATTAGGGAATTAAGGCACATGCCATATCACAAAAGAGGTTAATTGGAAGTAAGTTAGATGTTTGGGAATGTCTCAGGTAAATGAATAGTGTCCCAAATGATTTATTAGTAAACTTATGTTCTTCAAAATAATGTTTAAGTACGTTTATGACTACTTATATCGTTATATTTTAAATTTCGTTATCAATTATCATGAATAAAAATGTTTTTATTGTATAAAGTTTTACATGAAGAGTTAGGATTATTTTACGATTGAGTGTCTACTATTATTTAATATATTGGCAATGTTTGATTTTGCGATTTAAAGAATGATTTATTATTATGACTCATGCATGCTTGATTTAAAGCATGGAACCGAATTAGAATACTGGTTGCTAATAGCAGTTTCGTTAGCCATTGACATGCCATAATACACATAGTTAGCAATATGTTTGTAGGAGGTGCTAGCCCTGTGCACAAGCCAACACATGTGAAATGGAGGGATGGATCTTCATGAGCATTGTACTCATGCTTGTTTTGTGGCTTATGCTGTGCTTGTTTTGTAGCTTCTAATCGCATTTGACTGGTTACTTATCCTTGTTCACACTTGTTTGTTATTTATTCTTGTAGATTATGTGTTCATGTTTGTTATCAGTTCTGATAAAGTCTAGCTGAAGGATATTTTGAAATTAATGTGCTTTAAAATGAATCTTATTAGACAAGTTGATTTTCCTAAGTGGATTTCTTTGTCATGAGAGAGTTGCATTTCTTAGTTGTTTAATATGGGCCTAATAGTTTTGAACGTGAAATTTGACCATTGTATTGTTGTCATATGAGGATATTTTTGGGTTAAATACTTAAATGAAAATATTTGGTTTGAGTTATACACTACTTCTTTTCTAAGTGATTATTTTAGTTAAATTCATGCTTAATCTATTTATATTTTTTTCTTTTATCATTTTTAATTTTATTTTGGGATGCTATTTAATAAAAAATATTTTTGCCTCAGATAATAGCTAGACTTGTATCATCTATTGACCATTGGGAGCTTTATTATTGAACTGAAGTAGAAGAATTTTTTTGGATAGATATCAACTTGATCTAAATGTGAGCTTAAGTATTATTTTGTAGTCTACTTTACGTGCTCTTTATTGATTATAGATAGAATCTTGATCTGTTGCATATATTGATTGTTTGTTGTTAAGGACGGGAGTGCCTTGTTGCTGAACTGTTATAAATTTGTTGTTGTAGAAATTTTTAGTAGATTCTGTAGAATTTTTAAATAGAGTATATGATTCTTTTGCATAGCAAAAACTATGGTAAAAATTTTTAATCTTATAAGTAACGAGTTCAAAGTATTAAATTAGAAGTTTCTTGAATTAAGGCTTACATGATATGGGTTTTATACTCATATCATGTGCCGATCACACCTTATTTTTAGGTGTGACATTAATAGATATATTGCTAGTATACTCTCTTCTAGACCACCATTCCTTCTTGTTGCATTTGCACCAGAATTAATAAAAATACATTTAAAATATCTTATCATAAAATTTAATTTTACTTAAATTTTTGGATCATTACACTTGAGGGCAACATTGTTTCAATAAATAATTCAGGATACTTATTGCATCTCATGAAATAGTTAACAGACAAATATTTTTTAATCATTTTTTTCATGATGAAGCGAACTTCACATACATAATACAAATAACAAAAGCAAAATCACATTATATAGGAAAATAGATACAATGGTAAATGCAGAAGACAACCAACATAATTATTACAAAAGTTTAAACTTTCATGAGTTGTCCAATGGTGATGTTGTCAAATTGGTTCACAAAATAAGATTCAGGCCTCTCAAGTTGCAAACAGACTTGTTCCATGGTTGGACGATGATGTGGATTGTCATTCAAGCAAACAAGTATTATTTTTGCAATCAATATTACTTCCTCAAGAACCAAGTCTGAGGGTGGAGGAAGCCGCTGATCCAACACATTCTTAAATGGCAAATCATAGGATGTTGGAATCTCTCTTAGAGATTCAATAAGCTCCCCTGGATGTTTTCCCATAAGGATTTCCAATGTGAGAACTCCAAAACTATAAACATCACATTTCTCATTTACTTGCATAGTGAAAGCAATCTCTGCACCATGCATGTTAAAATATAAGGACATAAACTATATTACAATGCCTAAAATATAATAATGAATTAAAGTTGTTTGGCTGTAAAGTAAAGGACCTCACCTGGAGCAGCATAGCCTAAGGTTCCAGCAAATGAGGTCATATTGTTTGAGTCAACATTTAGAAACTTAGCTATTCCAAAGTCAATGATGTGAGCTTCTTGATATTCTGAATCTAACAAAACATTTTTGCTTGATATGTCACGATGAATTATGGGACATGAGATGTTGTGATGTATGTGGAATAATGCATCAACCACGCCTTTAACAACATTCACTCTCTTATTCCAGCCAAATGTTATTGCTTGCTTGTCATTTTTTAAAATCTTATCCAAGCTACCACCTTCTACAAACTCATAAACTAGGAATGAGAGGCATGGATTCAAAAAAAATCCAAGTAATTTCACTATGTTACGATGTTTGATTTCTGTCAATGCTTCAACTTCATTTGAGAGTGCTTTAAAATGGGAAGGATTTGTATTACAGCTAGGATGCAGCTTCTTCACAGCAAAAAATTGACCTTCAACCAGCTCAGCCCTATAAACACTTCCTTGTGTTCCCATCCCAACGAGATACTTGTCGTTAAAATCCTCTGTAGCTTTAATAACTTTTTCATATAAGATTTCCCCATCAAAGCAGGACATGGAGAAAATGTTTAGACCTAGTTCTTCCTGTTCTTGACTTTCATTCTTCTTTGACTTTTGAATCAAAACACAAGAACCCACTACTAAAATTAGAGGCACAAAACAAAGAAATACTAACATTGATAGCTTCACATTTTTGTCCATACGACCATGTGGTATGTTAATGCTTTGTCTATTGCAAGCCTCTAAAGTAGTGACATTGCCACATAAACCTCTATTATTCCTCACTTCTTGAAATGTAATATTTCGAAAGGCAAGAATGTTTGGAAGAGGTCCCTCTAAATGGTTGTATGATATGTCCACAGATGTCAAGCTTGTCATGTCATCAAAATTGGATGGAATTATGCCAGAGAGATTATTATGTGACAGGTTCAAATATTCCAACATCATTAATCTTCCAAGGGTTGTTGGTATTGTTCCCCTTAACATATTTACGCTAAGGTCAAGTTCTTGCAAAGCTTTTAAGAGACCAAATTCAAGGGGAATACTTCCCTCTAACTTATTTTTGCTCAAGCTCAATAGCCATAACTTATTTAGTCCTCCGAGCTCTTTAGGGATTGATCCAATGAAACAATTTTCCGCCAACTCCAATTCTTCAAGCTCATTCAATGATCCTATTTCTTGAGGAATCTTGCCAGAAAATTGATTATTGCTCAGAGAAAGTCTAGTCAGTGAGATCATCTTCCCCAATTCTTTTGTAATTTCTCCTGTTAAGTGATTTGAAGAGACATTGAGTTCCCCAAGATTGGTTGCCTCTCCAATTTCTGCAGGTATACTACCAGAAAGATTGTTGTTGGAAATCTTAAGTGCTGTAAGATTATGACATTTCCCCCACAAAGATGAAATGTGGCCATAAAATTTATTGCCACTCAAATCGATGTATTTCAAATTTGGATACACGCCAAAATCACTTGTTAGATTTCCAACAAGTTGGTTATTATCAAGTCTAAGTCTGATAAGGCTAGAGCAATTTTTCAAGGTTGTTGGAACAGGACCTGTGAATATGTTTGCAACTGTGGTGAAATACTCAAGTGACCCACCAAGGCAAATTTGTTGTGGCAAATTGCCGGTAAAGTCATTTGCACTAAGTTGTAAATCATTCAACTTGGTAAGGTTGTTCATCTCTAATGCAATGCTCCCATTAAGTTTGTTTATGTTCAAATTTAGGACCTTGAGCTTTGTTAGATTTCCTATGGTAGTCGGAATAGGTCCATAAAGAAAGTTATTTGCAAGGTTGATTTCTTCTATGCTGGCCATCTCTCCTATAGAGGTTGGAATTGATCCCCAAAGTCTGTTGGTCCACAAATTTAATATGGTGAGATTTGTGAAGTTTCCAATGAAGGGTGGTATAGGCCCATGCAAGTTATTCTCAAACAAATCTAAATTGATGAGAGAACAGAGATTCCCAAGTTCGCTAGGAATGATGCCTGAGAAACTATTTTGAGAGAGGTTAAGATATTTTAGTTTGGTCAAATTTCCTATTGAAGAAGGGATGCTTCCCTTTAATAATGTGTTCTTTGACAAGTCAACCTCTATGAGATTACTCAGCATTCCAATTTCTTGAGGAATAGAACCAAACAGATTATTCATGTAAAGGGATAGTTTTTCCAAATTCCTCAAGTTCCCAATTTCTTTGGGGATTCTACCGGTGAGATTATTCACATCAATACAAACCTCATTCAAAATAGTCAACACTCCTATTTCTGGTGGGATGGAACCACTCAAGAAATTATGATGCATATGTAATTTGAAAATGCTGGACAAGTTACCAATTTGGCTTGGAATAGTTCCAAAAAATTCATTGTAACTAATATCTAAAACCTTGAGTTTATGGAAAGAAGAGAAGTTGAGACTGTCAAGTGTACCTTGTATCTCAAAGCTTGTAACATTTATGGTGGAGACAGACATGGACTCACCATCACATATAATTCCTGTCCAGTGTTTGCAAGGATCAGTGCCATTCCAAGAGGACAAGATAGCTTGGCTTTGGTTTGCAAGGCTAGCTTTCCACTTCAAAAGAGCATTTGCTTCCTCAGTAGCATGGGATGAAGAGAACACCATGAAGGCACAGAAGAAGAATATGCCGAGAATTCGCCATGAAGTTAGACGTTGTGGAAGAGTGGGATCGGCCTTTTGGGGCTTGAACACCATGATTTGGTTACTTGTATTATTGATGTGATTAAATTGAACGATGGCGAGCAGAAGGTCTCTATTAATATAGGGGGCTCTTTGTTCTAGTTTTTAATTTCAAATTCAACAGAAAAATCAGAGTACGTGTGGTTCAAACTAGTTAGGTTGTATCAAATATTTTGTATTTTTTTCTCTCAATGTCCCTATAGTTTTTTTCATTTGCAATGTTAGTTCCTCTATTTTCAAATATGCCCAGAGAAAGATGATGATATGGCATTACTGATGTTAAATTATTTGGTGCGTAACTAATATCATTTCACTATGTATAAATGGAGGTTAGATTTTATTTTGTTTTTTTTTTTAACAAACTTTAAACTTGTTTCTTCGCCTTTACTTTGGTTTCGTTTGCCTTGCCTATATACTTTGTTTTATTTTTTTTCCTGATTTTGAACCCATTGATTGTTTTTTTTTTTCCCTTGGATGATGTTGATATTGGAGTTTATTTTGTTTTTGTGTAGTCAAGCATAGTCTTCAGTTTCTCCCAGTTAATATGTATTTTGTGATTACTCTATTTCTTTTTATTTTTATATTTTAACATTCACCGCATGATTTAACACAAGGTATTTAATCTTGCTAGTGCCATATCATTGTCCCTTTAGGCATATTTAAAAATTGAGGAACTAACGTTTTCGACCAAAAAATAAATAAATAAATAAAGGGACTTGAAGTAACAAAACAAAGTACTTGGATCAATAGCAAAATAAGATTAAACTATATGATTAATAGTTGTGTTTTTCCCATATTTTAATATTTGTCTGTTCAAACCAAATGAATTTTCCAGTCTTTCGTTCGTTCTAAGTCACTAAACAACTTTTGATAGGTTGAATATTCAAGTCCAGGTCTAGGTCATATCCGTGTCTTTGTTTCCTCGACCCTCAAAGCACGATGCAGCTTTGTTTACTTTTCAAAACCCATTTATTATTCCATAACTACTGTTACAATCTAGTCTCCAATTTTATTTCGAATACATGTTCACACTTTCAAATTCTAATTCACGCAAAATATTTTTCCCTTTAGCAAACTGTTAAGTCGCATGTCTAACATCTTTTATATTCCACTTTTCAATAATTTATTATTAAAAAAAGCTTTTTAGTAAATTTGGTCCTTAATTTCTAATTCGGAGCAAACTGGATTTTGAAAATTAATCATGATTTTTGAAGGAGACGGGGGAAAAATTCTAGCTCTTAATTCCTGTTTAATCACTCTTACAGCCATCAGTATTGTTGAAATCTTGTGAATCCAATGTGATCTTTATGCTTTATACGTGAATCATGACTTGTTAGAAGTTTATATTATATATAGATTTATAATAAATTAGGGGCCAACTAAATTTATTGACCAAAAGGACAATAATAGAGGATTGCCTACTTTTTCAAGTTCGTTTTTTGTTTCTAATGCAAATATGGTACGTATAGCACGTTTACTGATACATCATCATCATCATCATCATCATCATCATTAAAGGGAAGACAAATAATTGATAAGCACCCTGCTCTATTCTTGATCGAGCCAACAACACTTACATAATACAAATCGCAAAGACCACGTCACTTTATACAAGAATATGGATGCAATGGTAAATACAATAGCCAAACAAAGTAGTCATATATTGAGGAAATTTTAACCTTTTATGAGTTGTCCAAGTGTGATGTTGTTGAACTGGTTCACTAAATAAGGTTTAGGACTCATAAGTTTCAAAGATACTTGTTCCATGGTTGGACGACACTGTGGATTGTCATTCAAGCATGCAAATGCTATTTTTGCAATTAGCATTACTTCCTTGACGGCTTGGTTTGAAGGTGGAGGAAGCCGTTGATTCAAGACATCCTTAAGTGGGAGGTTGATGGATGTTGGAATCTCTGTCAAAGAACAAATAAACTCTCTAGGATGTCTTCCCATTAAGATTTTCAATGTGAGAACCCCAAAGCTATAAACATCACATTTCTCATTTGCTTGCATTGTAAAAGCAATCTCTACATCAAACATAATAAATTATTATGAGAATATTCATATTGCATAGCATATATAGAAAAACAACAGCAGCAGCAGCAATAAAATATTTTTTGGCTATAAAGAAAGGAGACCTCACCTAGAGCAGCATAGCCATAGGTGCCAGCAAATGTGGTCATGTTGTTTGAGTCCAACTTTAGAAACTTTGCTATTCCAAAATCGGTGATATGAGCGTCTTGATATTCTGAATCTAATAGAATATTTTTGCTTGATATGTCACGATGAACTATGGGACATGAGAGACCATGGTGCATGTGGAATAATGCATCAACCACACCTCTAACAACATTCACCCTCTTACACCAATCAAGTTTAGATGCTTGCAAGTCATTTTTTAAAATCTTATCCAAACTACCTCCATCCAGGAACTCAAACAAGGAATGATAAGCGTGAATTTGAGAAAAACCCAAGCAATTTCACTACATTATGATGTTTGATCTCTGTTAATGCTTGAATTTCACTTGCAATTGCTTTATGAATGTTGGAAAAATTTGTATTACAATTAGGATGAAATTTCTTCACAGCAAAAAATTGACCGTCAAGTAGCTCGGCTTTGTAAACACTTCCTTGTGCTCCAGTCCCAATGAGATATTTGTCATCAAAATCCTCTGTAGCATTGACAACTTTTTCATGTAAAATTTTCCAATCAAAACATGATATGAAGAAAAGATTGAGACTTATTGCTTCTCCATCTTGATCATTTGTTCTCTTTGAGTTTCGAATCAGAATACAAGAAATTCCACCCAATACTATCATAAGAGTAGCGAAACAAAGTAGTGATGACATCAATATCTTTGACGTTTTGTTCATACGACCTTGAGGGTAATTGCTATGTTTATTACAAAGCTCTAATCCAGTAACATTGCTACATAAACTTGTGTTGTTCCTCACTTCCTCAAACGTAATATTTCGAAAGGCAAGAATGTCTGGAAGAGGCCCCTCTAAATAGTTGTATGATATGTCAACAGATGTCATACTTGACATGTCATCAAAATTGGATGGAATCGTGCCAGAGAGATTGTTACATGAAAGGTTCAAATTTTCCAGCATCATCAATGTTCCAAGTGTTGCTGGTATTATTCCCCTCAACATATTCTGACTAAGATCAAGTTCTTGTAGAGCTTGTAATTGACCAAACTCAAAGGGGATGCATCCCTCAAATATATTATTACTCATGTTCAATAACCATAACCTGTAAAGTCCTCCGAGCTCTTTAGGTATTGAGCCTATGAAATTATTTACTGCTAACTCCAATTCTTCAAGTTGTTTCAATGATCCTATTTCTTTTGGAATTTTTCCTGAAAATTGATTATTGCTCAGAGAAAGTCTAGTCAATGAGATCATCTCCCTCAGTTCTTTTGGAATCTCACCTATTAAGTGATTTGAAGAGAGGTTGAGTTCCCCAAGGTTGGTTGCCTCTGCTAATTCTGGAGGTCTATGACCAGAAAGATTGTTGTTGGAAATCTTTAGTGTTGCAAGATCATGACACTTTCCCCACAATGATGAAATATGGCCATACAATTTATTGTCACTCAAATCTATGTATTTTAAATTTGGATACACACCAAAATCACTTTTTATATTTCCAACCAATTGGTTATGTTCAAGTCTGACTCTGATAAGGCTTGAGAAATTTTTCAAGGTTATTGGAACTGGACCAGTGAATTTGTTCACATTGGCAGCAAAAAATTCAAGGGATCCACCAAGGCAAATCTCTGGTGGCAAATGGCCAATTAAATCATTATCACTAATTTGTAAAACACTCAGGTTGGTAAGATTATTCATCTCTTCTGGAACGCTCCCATTGAGCTTGTTCCATCTCAAAAATAGCTTCTTTAGCTGTGTCAGATTTCCAATAGTAGGTGGAATATGTCCAGAAAGAGAGTTATCATCAAGTATGAGGATTTCTAAATTGACCAACTTTCCTAGAGAAGAAGGGATTAATCCATTAAGATTGTTGGTCACGAAATTCAAGGAAGTGAGTTTGGTCAGATTTCCTATTTCTTGAGGGATGAAACCAGTCAAGAAATTATAACTCATATCGAGATTAGTAATACCTGACAAACTACCAATATGGCTAGGAATGATTCCACAAAACTCATTGTAACTGATATTTAAAGCTTGGAGTTCCATAAAGGATGAGAATTTGAGACTGTGAAGTGTACCTTGTATCCCCAACCTCGTAAGATTTATGATGGAGACAGACATGGATTCATCATCACATGTAATTCCTTTCCAGTGTTTGCAAGGATCAGGACCATTCCAAGAAGACAAGATAGCTTGGCTTTGGTTTGCAAAGCTGGCTTTCCACTTCAGAAGAGAATTTGCTTCCTCACTAGCAATGGACGAAGAGAAAATTACAGAGACACAGAAGAAGACTATGCAGAGAATCTGCCATAGTGCTTGAAGTGGAAGATCAGTGTGATCTTCCTTTTAGAACTTAAACACCATGATTTGGAAACTTAGAGGAATTATTTAATGCTGGAGAGAAAAATGAATGAGTATAGATGTTCAGAGGCACAATTATAATGAAGATTGCGTCTGCATTTGGTACTCCAACATCTGAAAAATTCCTAATTGGATGCTTCATGTGACATTAAATGTTATCCATGACCATAAGGTGGTTGAAAAGAGATATAACTTGAAATGATTTGGATCACTAAAAAAGAAAGTTTGAAAGAAAATGCTAAAAATTTAGAGATAATAATTTGGATTGGCATGGGTCAGACTTAAAGGAGGATAATTTTTAATAAAAATAGATTTCAGCTTATACTAATTGAAAATAATCAAATCAACAAATTTTGTACAAAATTTGATGAATAAATTTCAAAAATAGTTTATTCTTTCAAATTAAATTAATATTCACTGATTGATTTGAATTTGCCGAAGTAGATGATATCGAAATTTTATTAATATATTAGATTTTAACTCGAAAAATAGTTTTCAGATTA